CAAAAACCAAGGATCTGCTGTGTCAGGGATCAAGAAAGTGACTCTGATCCTTCCGCCTCGCCTGTTGCAGAACGAAAGGCCAGAGCTGGCTTCTGACGTGGTTAAAAAAAGAAAACGTGTCCGGAGTCCGTCCGAAGGTGCCTCTGACTGTGCTGTCGCGATCCTGGCGTCGAGACCCGAGCTTTCTCGTTTCAAACATCGAAAGATTTCAGATACTGCGAGACGCAGTCAGAATCCTGTCAACCCGGGAAGAGGTGGACGGGTTGAAGGGCAGAGGCCCGACGGTCAGCGACGGCGGACAATGTCAATAGGTCAACAGGTGAAGTGCTTACCATGTAGCTCGGCAATGAGTGCACAGAAGTCTGACATATGCCTCTCAGTGGTCCAAGAAACGGCCGTTCACGAAGGCAGAGCTGGATTTCATGACTGGGGCGGAGAAGGTGAAAGTGAGTCCAACTAGTTATCTCGTGAGCCACACTCGGTATAATCCTGAACTGACTCACCTTGACTTAGCTCGCACCCTGCCAGCGGTGCGAAGCCATCTCGCGGGATTGTATCCCACAAGGCATCGGCAAAAGATGCGCTAACTGCGTCCGGACGCGGCGAGCGTGCACATATGTGGCCAAGGGACGCTTTCTTGCCGACCCAAGCACTTACTGGGACATCTTGCTTCGAAATGCCGAACGACCGATCCCCGTGCTCCCTGCGGTTCCCTACTTATACCCACTGCACAAGGTCGACCAGACAGGCATCGACCACGGAGAGCTAATCAAGAAGTTGCGCCGACCGATCACTTGCGAAGATGCTGAGCGTCCGCTTGAAGAAGCTGAACTCCTCGGGCTTGCGTCGATTGGCGATAACATGGGCTCGGAAGTTGAAGAGGTCTCGGAAGCGACACTGGCGTCTCCCGTTCAAGTTTCCCGCGTCATTGTTCCATATAACGAACCGGTTCCGGAGGATATTACGCGGGCCATCGCTGCTATGAAGGACTTGTATCAGAAAGAGACTGCGGTTCTGCAGGGAGGGCCGGGAAGTGGATTGGCAGGGGCTATACAATCCTTGGTCACAGAATTTGCGACGCCAAGTGCACTCGGGTTTCTATCGTAGAAGGGCCTGGCATTGCTTCTTGTCTATTTTTTGGAGTTGATTGGATTCAACAAGGCGCATGTTATCATTCCATGGTGTAATACTTCACCTGTATCAACTTTCTTGCTGGGCTTTCGTGTTAAGGACTGTCGTCGAAGAGAGGTCCTGTGGAGCCATGTATCAGCTGTAGCGCGCAAGTTGGAAAATGCATTGGCACTCACTGCTCTAAAGGGTTTGAGTGCATCTGTTTGAATGGCAAATACGACGACCAACACAACCCTACGTACACCCCATACAGGGCCATCTTCGCATTTGAATGCTACCATCAGGGCTGAAATGTCACTTCCGTGACGAGCTTCTGTCCGTTTAGATTCAATATTCTGCCAAGGATGCAATGTCGAGATAATAGCATACCTCAATGGTCTGCTGACCGTGAAGCAGCGACTTAAGCAGCGACGCACAGACTTTGAAATCCATCAAGCACATTTGTCAGTGCATTGCAAAGCGTTAGAACAAGCGCCCATACACGCTTGTCACTCAAGCTCGCCCATCTGACCTCACTGCGTGACTGCCACACCCGGCGTCATGCGCAGCGGCGCATGACGCCCATGCGAACTGAGGGAGTACGCAGATTCCACCCCTATCACAGCGAACATATGAAAGTCCGAGCTGCCGGCATGCGGAAGTCGCGATCGTATAAGTATATGGAAGCCAAGAGCGGAAGGAAAGGGATACGAATCCGCTTCTGCCTCCACCATAATGCCCAACCGCGATGGAATCACGGAACGCGTGTTCCAGTCGCCGTCGAAGTACGTGCAGGGCCCGAACGCGCTGAAGAACGCAGCGAAGCACCTCTCGCACCTGGGCCGCGCGCCGCTCCTGCTCTGCGACGATATCGTCTACGAAATCGGTACGCACCAACCACACATCCTCGCTCCACGAGCTCAGTCTGTCATCACCACCGCCGCCCCACAGCCGGGAAAGAGCTCACCACGGCCCTCGAGCACGCCGACTACAAGCTCACACGCGCCACCTTCAGCGGCGAAGCCACCACCACCGAAATCGCGCGCCTCGTCGCGTCCGCACGCAGCGCGTCCCCGCCCGCCGACTTCGTGCTCGCGCTCGGCGGGGGCAAGACGCTCGACACCGGCAAGGCCGTCGCAGCCGAGCTCGGCGTGCCGGTCGCGGTGGTGCCCACAACCGCGTCGACGGACGCGCCGTGCTCCGCGATCACGGTGCTGTACACGCCCGAGGGGCAGTTCGCCGGGGGGCTCGTGCACGCGCGCAACCCCGCGCTCGTGCTCGTCGACACGGGCGTCGTCGCGCGCGCGCCGCCGCGCTTCCTGTCCGCGGGCATCGGCGACGCGCTCGCGACGCACGTCGAGGCGCGCGGGATCCGCAACACGCCGAATTTTGGCGGCGGGCTGCCGACGGAGGTGTCCGGGGCGATTGGCGCGCGGTGCGAGGAGATTTTGTTTAAGTATGGGAGGCAGGCAGTGCTTGCGAATAAGGCGGGCGCGGTCACGCCCGCGCTGGAGAAGGTCGTGGAGGCGAATACGCTGCTGTCGGGGCTGGGGTTCGAGTCGGGCGGTGTGGCGGCGGCGCATTCGGTGAGTGTGGCTTGGGAACATCAGTGCTGTTATTGAAGACGGAGCCAGATTCATGACGGCCTTACTGCACTGGACAACCATGCCCTGCACAGCAAGCTGCATGGCGAAAAAGGTGACTGCAGATGTTATTCAGTACTAGACGTGTGTTTACCGACACATCGCAGTCGCGTTCGGAATCATCGGCCAGCTCATCCTCGACGGCGCCCCGACCTCCGAGCTCGATCGCTACATCGGCCTCATGCACTCTGTGGACCTGCCCGTCACCTTCGCAGACCTTGGAGTACCAGACATATCTGACGACGATATCCGGATCGTGGCGAAAGCAGCTTGCGCACCGATGGCGGTGATTTGGTCGATGGATAGCCATATTTCGGAGGAGATTGTCTTTCATTCGATCAAGGGCGCGGATGCAGCAGGGAGGGACTATTTGGCTAGGCTGCAGAAGTAAGATTTGAAGTGTATAGACATTCACATATTCGGGGCAGAGTGCAAGGGCGACATCCATACGCCGTCCATCCGACCTGGAATGTCTGAATTGTCGTCAGCGAAATTCGACATCTTGATAGGGCACGCACCTTCTCCGCTCCTTTCGGAACCATGGAATACTGGATGTACGATCCCTCAAGATGAGCGTAGACTAAACCGGGATTTCTGAATTGTTGTCGAAGTGGTGAGATATTGCTACAGTGTCTAGAGTGTGGCGAAACAGAATTGTGGTGCGGTATGATTTACAAGGGCGTCCTCGGGCCCATCATGGTATCGCTTGCTCTTGCGTATATGGCCTAGCATCCACCGCGGTCGATCATGGTGGCACTATCTTCATCTTCATCACAGCTCACCCACACCCTCCGCAGGCAACTGATGGATATCCCCATACCGGGCCAAGCGCAGCAAGTCATTGCGAATCAAGAAGTCCTCCGAGTCCGCGAACTTGCCCGGCTGCACGAGCGACACGTCCGGGATGAGCGTGAGGAGCACCTCGTCGAGATACTCGCCAATGCCCTGGTCGTAGAGAACTTGTGCGATGGCCGCGTGCGCGCGAATGAAGCGGGGATCGGGGAGTGGGATGCCTGTGCCGGAGAGGTCGGTGAACTCGACGGGCGTGTCGCCGCGCAGGTCGAGTACAATGGGGTCTGTGACGGAGAGGCGTCTGACTTGGTAGCAGTCGGGGCCCTGTCGGCCGCATGAGTTTGATTGATACGTGCAAGTGAGGAGAGAACAAAAAAATCCTTACAGTCTCTTTGAAGAACCACTCGAAGTTGTTGTACATGCGGCGCACACTAAGCTCGAGCGTGACCCCGTTATCTGGCTCGTCGATGTGTTGTTGCCAGTCTGGATCCGTCGTCAGCTCCACCGGAATATCTGCGTAGTAGTGCAGTATGCCCCAGGTAATGAACTCTGAATTTGAAGTCTGGATAGTGATGTCATTGGCGATGAGCAGTGAAGGGCATGGAGTGCTGCCTACCGCAGAGCCCTCTTCTGTGGGCAGGTCCTCGTTTGTGCGTTTCAGGATGTGTGTGGGTTCGGCGCGCAGCCGCAGTTTGGGCCCGACAACGACGCAACGGCCCCCGTCGCGAGCGCGGACCTACATCATGGCAAAGATGACACCACGGTGCACGACGAGACTATAATCTACTCACCTTGTCACTAAACGTCTTTAGTCTCAATTGCGTAGCCACGTCCAAATCTTCCTCCTCCGACGGAGTGGAAAGCGAGCTGAAGTCTGGCTCATCCAGCTTGTGCGCACACTTCACTGTACGGTTCATGAGTCTCAGTCCCACCTCTACCAAGTTTGCACTCACATGGCATCAACAGAAACCACAACCAGTCGCTCGCCAGGTCCGCACACGCCGCATCGCTCGCCGCAGCCGCCACCGCACACGCGACGTATCTGCGCCCGCGCTCGCACGGCGCGAAGCGGAGCATCGCCGCGAGCAGCCGTCCCGCGCGGAAGTGCGTATCCGGGATGACCGTCTGCGCCTCCGCCAGGCGCGCCAGCCGTGCGTGCGCCTGCGCCTCGTAGTCGATGGTGGGCACATTGCTATCGTCGAAGAGCGCAGCAATGCGGGCGCTGGACCCGCTGCTGTCGAGGACTCGTGGAGGCATTGCGACTGTGTTGCGAGGCTTCACTTACATAGGGGCGGGCTATGGGCTGTGGGCTCGACTGCAAGTCATGGTCCAGGTTCCCTTGGCCCTTGCCGGGTCTCTACGAATACGTCGCGTATGCTGCGCCAGAGTGCAGGCGCGCCGAGAGACCCGGGACACCTCGCCGGTCGTGGTCCGCGCCAGCGCGGGCCTCAGCACGGCGGGCTAGCGTAATGGTTAACGCGCTAGTTTCCGGTGGTTTGGCTAGCTAGAGACTCTGGGTTCGAGTCCCAGGCTCGTCGACGAAGTTCTTATTTTTCTACGATGGAAAAGATGCTAGCGCGAAGGGCGGGAAGGCAGAGCGAGCGTCGTGTTTTCGACCTCAATACATCTGCGGTGAGCGGGGGTCTAGCTCGGATACAGCCAGGAACTTGGATCTCCGTCGGCCAAGTCCGAATATTTAAATGAACGTTTAACAAAAGAACCCCTCTGCCTGAGCAGTACGCCGTAGCTCCATCGTATATGCAGCATTGTTCTCGTATAATTATCTGTTTTATCCTAGTCAATTGCAAGACACGAAAGCAGTTGCTTGAGGTGCGCAAAAGAGGCGTATCACACTGCGCCTATTACATAATCCAAGGGCTGGATTGGGAATGGGACAATCGACTCGAGTTCAAGTTCGCCGTTGTTCACGTCCAGCTCTGAAGACGGCTCTTTCGACGAGCCAGCGCGTTCGACTCTTCTCCCCCAGCCTCCAGATATCCGCAAAGTAGCCAGCAAAGCAAACGCAACACACCTACGATGGCGTTCTTCGGCTCGACGTCGACGTCGAACGTAAGCCCTGCAGAAAAGGACGTCGAGGTCGCCGACCCGCCGCCGGACTCGATCTCGTCGCTCGCGTTCTCGCCCGTCGCGGACTACCTCGCCGTCGGGAGCTGGGACAACAATGTGCGTACACCCCACGCGTGCTCTCTCTCTCTCTCTCTCTCGAGGCGTGTGCACGAGCTGACTGGCGCCTGGGTTTTTGCCGGCGTGTGGCGCGCTGCTGCAGGTGCGCGTGTACGAGGTGGGCCCGGGCGGGCAGACGCAGGGGAAGGCGATGTACAGCCACCAGGGCCCCGTGCTGAGCGTCTGCTGGAACAAGGTGCGCCCCGCCGCCCTGATCCGCGCCGCCTTCATGCTGCGACTGACACGCCACCCCCCGCGCAGGAAGGAAATAAGATCATCTCGGGCGGCGCGGACAACGCGGCGCGCCTGTTCGACGTCGGCACGGGCCAGTCGCAGCAGGTCGCGCAGCACGACGCGCCCGTGCGCTGCGTCAAGTGGATCGAGACGCCCCAGGGCGGCATCCTCGCGACGGGCAGCTGGGACAAGACGCTGAAGGTATGCGTCTGATCGTGTTACTGCGCTGGTGCTGGGGCTGACGCGCTGTAGTACTGGGACCTGCGCTCGCCGAACCCGATCTCGACTGTGCAGCTGCCCGAGCGCTGCTACACGATGGACGTCGCGTACCCGCTGCTCGTCGTCGGCACGGCGGAGAGGCACATCCAGATCTTCAACCTCACGAACCCGACCACTCCGTACAAGGTGCGTGTGTTGGCTGTGTGCTGGGTGCGTCGATGCGGGTGCTGAGCGCGGTGTGCAGACAATGATGTCGCCGCTGAAGTGGCAGACGCGCGTCGTGTCGTGTTTCCCGACGAGCAACGGGTTCGCGGTCGGCAGTGTCGAGGGCCGCGTCGCCATCCAGTATGTTCCCTTCTGCACCTTTCACATGCTTGCATCTCCAACCACGATTTCGACAGATATGTAGATGAAAAGGACTCTCAGTGCGCCACTTCTCTTTCGTGTCTCACGTTGTCAACTGACTGACGCGCGGGCACCGCAGGAACAACTTCTCTTTCAAGTGCCATCGCCGCGATCAGGCGCCCAACACGAAAGACCAGTCGCTCGTATACGCCGTGAACGACATCGCGTTCCACCCCGTGCACGGCACGTTCTCCACCTGCGGTCCGTCCCCATGTCCCCTCCCTCTCCTTCCCTCTACTCACACATCACCTTTACCACAGGCTCCGACGGCACCATCAACTTCTGGGACAAGGACGCGCGCACGCGCCTGAAGAGTACGTCTTTTCCTTCCATCATGCGTCCGCGCCCCCCTGACGGGCCGCAGCGTTCGACATGGCCCCGGGCCCCGTGACGGCGAGCACGTTCAACCGCAACGGGACGATCTTCGCGTACTCGGTGTCGTACGACTGGTCGAAGGGCCACTCGGGCATGACGCCCGGCCACCCGAACAAGGTCATGCTGCATGCGGTCAAGGACGAGGAGGTGAAGAAGCGCTCGCAGAAACGGTGAGCGGGGGCCGGCGTGCGGTGGAGGTGGTGGGTGTTCGGCGGGAGGATGGGGATACTTATGTGTTGGCTATGATGTTTCGAGCCGCCGAGCCGTTGCTTTTTTGTGCATTGTATCTATACGTACGTTGTGATTTGTGGTCTGTGATTAGTGTCGCGATTGAACATGCTTGTTTCGTTCTGTACGCGTACGTCTTGTCTTCTCTCCGCGCGACGCCCTGAAAGTTCGACCTCACGAGTGCACGCAACAACACAACACAACGCTTCCTCACAATTCAAACACGCAAAGTGAACAGTAGTATGAACACATCGTACGAGCGGTACCGGTCATTAGTATCCGTATAATTAAATGTGTGAGCACAAATTAAACATAAATCTCCACGCATCCCCCCCCTCCCTCCCTCGCGTTCATTCCTGCTTTTAGTCTTCGTCGTCTTCTAGTCTGGGCCGGCGCCGTCCCCGCGTACACATGAGTCGTGATGGCATCCTCTCCCCTCTCCCCTACACAACAATCTCCTCTCCAGCACATAAGTACATCCCTTAAACATACTCACAGACAGCTAGCCCCTCACGGCTCACGACTCACGACGCCTTGCCGAGCTTCGCCTTCTCCTTCTCCCGGCGCTCCGCCTCGGCGGCCTTGACCGCGAGCAGCGGGTCGAGCTCGGACGCGGGCTGGCGGTACGAGCCGCCCCAGCGGTCCGCCCACGTGAAGTACTATTTACGAGCGTGGCGCGTGAGATTTCGGTGTCACAGGGCAGGAGGAGAAGGGGAGAAGGGGAAATGGGAGAAGGGGGAAGAAGCGCACCTGGCCGTAGTTCACGGTGTAGTAGAGGTGGTGCAGCGTGTGGTGCGCCGGGCCGTTGATGATGGTCTCGAGCGGGTGCCCCGTGATCATGTCCGAGTCGTGGATCTGCCCACGCGGGGGTCCGAGTCAGGTGTCGCATCCAAAATAGGGAAGAAGGGAGAGAGGGGGACGTACGAGGATACTCCAGCAGTTGACGAAGACGAAGAGGCCGAGGTAGAGCCAGCGCTGCAGCGGGAAGAGGAAGATGAAGAGGTGGTACGGGACCGACTGCAGGTAGCCGTCGACGAAGTGGAACGCGTGCGACGCGAAGGGCGTCGGGACTACGGGGTCACGTGAGTCGCGGGTCGTGGGATGAGAGAAAGAGAACGCGTGGGTGTGGGAGGATGGGAGGGAAGAGGCTTACCGAGCCACTTGTGGTGCGGCTTGTGGATGTGCTTGTACACGAGCGGGTGGTGCAGCAGGCGGTGGACCCAGTAGATCGCGTAGTCTGTGAAGAGGAGGAAGCTACGCGACGCGTCAGTCGAGCGAACGGGAGGTGAAGACGCGCGGGGAAGGTACGCACAAAGGTACCGAGAAAATGAGGTAGGCGATGCCGTATTCGGATACGTCGGAGTAGAGCTTTGAATGGCCTCGGACCTCCGCTTCGAACCAGGGCAGCGTGAGGAGCGTGATGCCGGGGAACGCGCGCAGGCTGGACTGGATCTCGAGCTTGACCTGGTTTTTGAGGAACCGCGGGTGCTTCATCATCTCGTGGTTGAAGATGAACGTGTACGAGAGCCACGCGAAGGAGAAGTAGAGCACGTAGATGCCCGCGAGGGTGATTGCGGAGAGCGAGAGGAGCTGCCGGGGGATGTAGTCGCGTGGCCAGGCGGAGATGGCGTGGGCGGCGGGGACCGTGGCATTCAGATGCGGGAGCGGTGGGTGTGGGAGATAGGAGACGAATTGATTCCAAGTCGAGGAGGGGGCGACGTAGGGGACGAATGAGGAGGCATTGGCGGCGGCCTTGGAGAGGGCGGGGACGCCACCGAAGGCGTCGAGGGGGACGATGCGTGCCCAGGCGGCGTCGAGGAGGTATTCGTCGAAGAGGTCGAGTACGATGTCCATTGATGCAGCAGACGAGGGCGACGAGTTGTCAGAGGCGAGGCCCGGACTCGTTTTATTGCAACGCTCACAGACGAAAATCACACCACTTGAATTTCTTGTCAGGCAGAATGAGTAATCAGATAAGATCTCCCCACGCCCAGCCACCTCTCGGTCCGTCCAGCACCGCGGCCTTGTCCTCCATCGACCCCCGCCTCAACCGTCGTAACACGACCACACCCCACCAGCAGACAAACGTTTTAGCTTTTCGTTCTTGTTAACGTACGACTCCGATCGAAGCACAAGCCTGGGCGTCGTTCCTTGGCTCCATCGTCTCTGATCTGCGTAATTGCCATTCTAGATCTGTTATTCATGATCCACCACCGCCAGGGCCTCATGGCATGCCGCCCAGCTGTGGGCCTTTGCTAGCTCTCATCTCATCTCTTATAGCGGGCCCTGGATAAATTCACTTGGAAGGACCCTGCAGCAATGGTGACGATCATCAGCACGTGCTGCAATGCATACTTTCGCAGTCGCAAGGCTGCACAGTGCACAGGTAAATCCTCGCGGCCTCTAGCGGCGTCGTTGGCAGGGCGTCAATCAGATTTCGACCATCCCATGGACCCTGCATAAGTACAGGTATAAGAACCCGCCGGCGGCGGTCGTGCTTGGTCAAGGCTGGTCCCTTCCCTCACGCCCCCGTTATTCTGCCTCGAAGGCATTTGCTTCATTTTACTCGCCGCCCGACGCCCTGCACGCACCATGCAACTCACCGTTCTTTTGGGCACCCTTGCCCTTGCACTCGTCGCACCTTCTAATGTCCTTGCAGCCCCGACTCCCGCAGATGCAGGCGTCATCACGGTCCCACTCAAACGCCTGCACACACCGCGGACGGACCTGCATCCCCAGCTGGTGCGTACCATTATTTCTCTGCCCGATACATGGCTTCTGAACTGGTGTGCAGAATCTGCAACGGCACATCAACCATGGCAGACACCGTCTTGCGCGCATGAACGGCCGTGCAGTGCCCACGCACGAAGACATGGCCGCTGCCCTCACCAAG